ACTGAGGGCAGCCTCCAGGCTGGGGCAATGAAACAGACCGTGACGGCCACTGATGAGGCATAGTGCGATGCCTTCTGCATGCCTTGATTGACTAACAATGGTGGGCGATGATGTCTCCGTTTTGCAGAAGTGCACACTGAGGCTCATGAAAGTTCGAAAGCCTGCCTGAGGTCCCCTTTCTGATATCGGGGTGCTGTTCAAGGTCAGGTTCTTCTGTCATCCCAGAGTGGAGTTCACATGCTGCTTCTGCCACCTCTCAAGAGGGGACTTGGAAAGGGGTCACCTGTGAATGGCCTGATATCTATAGCAGGATCCAACTGTGGGGAAGTCAGATTTGCTGGTGTCTGTGTAACATGCTCTACTCCGGCCTCTGGCTCCGTGTGAAGAGTGGGGATGCAGAGAGGCAGATTTCAGTCCTCCACATGGCTTGAGGCCACAAAGTGGGCATGATAATGGCTTCCTGGGATGGGGCGGAGTCAAACTGCTTGAATAAACCCCATGGGACTGAGATTCATAGCCACAAAGTCCCGATGAGTGCTGACATCTGTAGACTTCTGCCTTGCCTCTTTGGACAAGCGCTGAGGTTTGTAAACGATTTCTGCCTTGCCTTTTTGAGACTTACTTAGCTACAAGTTGGAAGGTTGGGGCAGCAGCAGGGGTCAAGGCCTTTGGACCTGGGCCTTGCTCTGCCTCCCATGGTTCTTATTTCCTACAAGGCAACTCTCCCAGTTTAGAGACTACATTGGACCTCAGGGCCCACTGATGCATCCTGCAGATGAGAACACAGAGGCCCTGCGTGGAAGACCAGTTATTCTCGGGTGTCCCACATCATCTGGCTATGCTGGTCTAAGAGTCTCCACTATCACCCCCAGGTGGTCCTCAGCATCTCACCAGCAGCTGCTTAATGGGGAAGTCCTTCAGGCTTCCATCTCGAGGGGAGTCCAGCACCACTGGGAAGCCTTTGTGGGGCGCCTCAATGTAGCCAAACTCGATTTCATCCTGTGGAGGAGAAGGAGGGCTTTCAGATGTAGTGGTACCCAGGGGTATCTGGAACAGGATGGATGGGGTGTAATCCCAGATGGATAAGGGGCAGAAGAGGAGGCTGGAGAGTATGAGGCCATCCTGGGCTATATATTGAGACTCTGGTTTAAGGAACTCAAAGCACAAGGGGCTGGGAATGTAACCCAGCAGTAGAGTGCTTGGCTAACATATATGAAGTCCTAGGTTCAAGCCCCAGTTCAAGCCCACTGAGCATGCTGGCACATGCCTGTGTAATCCTAGCACTTGGGAGGTGAATGCAAGAGGATCTGAATTTCAAGGTCATTCTCTATTACATAGTGAATTCAAGGCCAGCCTGAGGTATGGGAGACCCTGTTACAGAACAAACAAACAAAAGCACAAGCAAACTCTGCATGGCAGTGCACACCTGTAGTCAGAACTCAGAAGGCAGAGGCCAGGGGCTTGCGAGTGTAAGGGCAGCCTGGGCTACAAAGTGAGAACCTGGCTCAAAATCAAAACAAAAGTAGAGCAGTGAGATAGCTCAGCAGGTAAAGGAACTTACTGCCAAGCCTGGTGACCTGAGTTTGATTCCCAGGACTCGCAAGATGGAGGGAGAGAAGCAGCTTCTCCACGCTGTCCTCTGACCTCCTCCATGTGTGGGCTATGGTGTGTGCACCACCCCGACAAATCAGTGTAATAGAAAGGGTTAACACAAAATGAACACAAGTGAGCCTAGCTTGGGAAGTGTGTCTCACTCACAGCCTGTCTCTGGTCCCTGACTCTCTGCCTAATAAGCAAATATGACGGGGCATCTTTCCACAGATTGTCTCTGCCCACCAGGAAAGTCACACAATGATCTCTTAGTGACACTGAGCTCATTTAAAAAACATAAATAGCTCTAAGGAAGCAACTCAAGCATACTCTGTGTCTTTAGTCACAGACGGACCTTTCTCTTTTTCTTTTTAACTGCCACTTAGTACTCCCCATGAGGTCATCCCCAGCCACCAAGGATGGATACAGATTATTTCAGTCTAGGCTGTCACTAGAAGCCACATTGTTCTCCCAAGTCTCTGAGCACATGAGCAGACAGGAATCTGCACACACACAGGCAGCTGGGTACCAGGGCACACACAGCAAGCCTCTTTGGGCCAGAGCCCTTGCTGCATCCTTCCCCTGGGCCCAGGCTCCTCTCACCTGGATCCAGCGGTCTCCGCGATTCATGTACTGGAAACAGACTTTCAGTTCGCAGTTGGTTTTCTCCACCAGGTTCTTCACCTCTTTCAGGAACAGATAATTATCCTTCATGCTGAGGAGCATCAGGAAGAGGGCAAGAAGAAGTGAGAGGGAGGGCAAGGGCCACCCATCTTGGGTGGTCGCAGCTGCTGGCACTCTGGCTGAGTTGTGCTAATGCAGCTCTGTTTGTGTCCACAGCCACGTTGTAAAGGCCACTGGGGCCATCGGCCACCTTTGTACTTATATAGTTTTTGTCAAGGTCACATGAATAAATAAGACAAGGAAGGGACCTATTACCCACACATGCTCTCTGATTCCCCAGATCTTAGAAAGGGCTATGCCTGGGACATGGAGGATCCTGGCATGAAGGGTAGGGGTGGGCAGAGGGTCCTTTCTGTAGCTGCCACTCATACACATGTAGATACTTCTTGCCCTTCCTGATTGTCCTGCTGTGCTAAACAAGCACATTTTAGAACTCAGTAAAAATCTGCTGAGCCAGTAACCTAGCCCCACACAGTAGAAGGCCGAGAGTGAGAAGAGACAGGAGAAGCGTGGCCTGAGCCACGATATGGGCATAGATAGATAGATGCAGAGGCACATTCTAGATCCTCACAGTAAGCCTGTGGTATGTGCATTTCAGAGAAACTGAGGCACAGAGACACCACGTGAACTGCTGCAGGTCATCTAACTGCTATGTGACGGAGACAGGAATTGGATTTAGGCCAGTCTGACCCTGGAGCCCAGCTCTTGGCCACTCTGCCCCCTGCCTTGTGGACCACACTTGCTCCTTACCAGCACACGAACACTGAGAGGGGAGGCAGGACGTTGGGGGTCATAATCCACGGTGCAATCCGGAACGTCACAGTGTCTGTGAAGATGGGCGTCAGCGGGATGGCCTGCGTGGGGACAGAAGAGGGGCACCAGTGCAGCCACATTGGGTACCTGTGGCCCCTGCTTCCCTCTTGGTGGGTGAGACTGAGAACCACGCATTTACTGTATGCTAGGAACTGTGCCAAGTATTGTTTTTATGTGTGTGTGTGTGTGTGTGGGGTTGTGTTTGTGTGTGTGTGCACATGCGTCTAATGCCCGTGATGGCCAGAAGAGGACATCAGATTCCCCTAGAGCCGGAGTTACACATAGTTGTGAGCTGCCCATCAGGTGGGTTCTGGGAATAAGCACTACTCTTCCGGAAGAACAGCAAGTGCTCTTGACTGCTCAGCCAAGTATTTTTGCCTGTACCAATTCATTCCCAGGGGACAGATGCTACCATCATCCTTACTTTTCAGATAGGGGAACTAGGAACTGTAAAGTCACATGGTTAGAAAAGCCTCGTTCCTGTCCTTCACACACACTTTGCCCCATCGGAGTTACCAGGTCAGAGCTGGGGCATCGTTGCACGGCGGAGACCCGTGGCTCTCACCTCAGCCATATACTCCAGCAGACTGACATGGATGGAAACCAGGCCTGAGAAGCTCTCGTCGGGGAAGCGGAGGCCTTCCACGAAGAACAGCAATTCCGCAGAGCCACCTGTGTACTTCACCACGTGGTAGAGCTTCCGCCGGCCCAGGATGTGAATGTAACGCTCCCCGAAGAATGGGTCTGTGGGGGATGGGACCCACGTTAGGACCCTCTCCCATCAGGTGGTCAGGGAGTGCTCTGGTGGGGCAAGGGGCAGAGCGACTTGTCCTTTAGACACAGAGAAATGCACAAGTGGAAGATAGCACAGGATGGTGCAAACTGGTCTTTGTCATAGACTGGGCATGCCGTGTGCCTGCTGGCATCTGACTTCCTCATCTGGAAAATGAGCTGTCTGGGGAACGAGGGTAGATGGGAATGGCAAGGCTAGCATAGCCGTGGGGAGGTGTTATTCCCATTTTACAGAGGAGGAAACCTTCTCAGAAAGCAGAAGTGGCTAGGCAGGGCCTCCAATCCACATCTAATTCCAAATGCCAAGTTCCTACTCTCTTTGCATGAATGAAACACGAGTGTGCCAGTTGCTTGAGACATTATCCTCTATACAAGCTCCATTGTGTGGATCTCGGGTGGGAAGGAAGAGTCTCCTGCCCCATGAAACTCCCAGCCCTTTACAGAGCTGTTCCCTCTGCCTGGAAGACTGACATCCTTAGTCCATTTGGGGAATCCTTTGTAGATTCTCAGAGAGCAAGCCAGGGTCCATATGGACCTTCCATATTGCAGCCCCTACAAATTCATGCTGCCAGTGTGAGAGACAGCCCTGCCAGGCCATCTGCCTGTCTGGCACGTGGTCACATTTAATAAATGTTCATTGAATGAAGCAATGGCTCCCACCAGTCCCTGTGGGAGAGGCCCACGGGGGATTTTAGGGCTCGTTCAGAGCCCATGAATTGAATTAGTTGGGCCAGCATGAGCAAAGACCTTCAGGGAGCCAGCAGGGGCACAGGTCAATGCCTTCCCTGGTTCCATCCAAGTACAGCTTCTGAGGGATACTGAAGGATAGACATGGTAAGGAACAGGTCCTAGCCACTGGGACCTGGAAGTCTTAAAGGCCACGGTGCAGCCTCTGTGTCCAATAGCAATGCTCAGCCGATGATAAGACAGCGGATGTGGGGAGTGTCTAACGGCAGTGTCATGGTGGAGAGATCTTGTCTGTTACTTCGGGGTGGGGAAGGGTAGGGAGGCAGGGGAGACTTCTGAGCAGAGGGAAGTAGCTTTGAGATGCCCTTGTGGGGCAGCTTGGTGCCTGTAAGGACGTGGAGGGATAGGGATACTTGCATTGGCAAAGGCCTGGAGATAGGGCCCTACACAGTTCCAGGAGCAGCTTCTTTAGGCCCTGCAAGGCTGGAAGGGCAGATCATGCTCAGCTTAGCACTTTCAATGACGAAACATTGGTTAATGACCAGCTGCCCAAGGGTTAGAACATGGAGCAGGACCATTCCCAGTACACAGGGCTAAAAACTGTCAAGTCCAATGTACCTCGAAACACAGGCTTGAGACAGCACCTGTTTCAGGACAGCATGCTCATCTGTACACTGATTATGTATGACACCATGAACCCGTGACCTTGACCTCCCAAGCCAGAGGGACCTCAGGTCAGGCATCCTCCGGACTTTGCAAGTTACAAACCTTCCATGATCTCGATTAAACTCTCAAATAGGTCACTCAGTTGCTAACTGGGGAATAATAGCAGTACCTGTGTCACAGGGTCATTACAGATGACACAGTATCAATAACTTCAGTAACCTTGGGGACACGGGTAACACAGCCGGAACCTAACGCTACTGGGAGGAGAATCCAGGTTGGCTAGTGCTGCATCACTCACCACTTTGCCATCCAATGCCTTCCAGACGGCAGGCACAGAAGTGGCATCTCAGCCTCCCGGAGGTGGGGCTTAGCATTGAGATGCATATGCCCTGCCCCCGAAGGGCCCAAGCACCTATCACAGCCCAGAATGGAAGGTGACGTCCTTCTCATCCCAAATGGCCAGCAGGACCCTAGGGCCCAGGCTCTGTTCAGATCCAGTTGGATGTGTATCTATGGTGGCCTCCCTTCCCTACCCACAACACCCACATGACACAAGCTACACTCCAGCTGTTCTCATGGGAGTGATGTCAACACAGAAGCTGCCCTGATCTTACAGAAGCCTAGTTATTGAGTTTCCCTGGGCTCTCAGGGGGCCTGGGGAAGAGGGAATATGGCAGAGGGAGGTGGGTCTGGTGGGAGAATGCGTTCTGCACAGTGGCTGGCAGGTGGTGGCTTTCTCTTCCCCATGTAGCCGATGCCCTATGCTTCACAATGCATCTCTATTTGGGGCTGCTTTCTGGCAGTTAGTGCCAGCGCCAGGCAGATTGGATCTCATACAGAAACAACACAGCCCTTGTTTCCACGAGCCTCCATCACCGTTCACAGTCCTTGATTTGGTGCAGATCCTGCCACCCCCGGCATGGCTGGCTGTCCTTGCAGGCACCAACAATGTACTTCCATTGAGTGTCCTCCTCCCCCCAGCTTTGTGCTGGACCTGCTAGTCACCCTGAGCTTCGGTCATCTGCCCTGGCTGGCTAGTGCATGGCTTGATTTGGCACAACCTTCCCAGTTGCAAAGAGATGGATAGTGTGACTGTGTTTCAGCTTGCCTGTGATGGAAGGGTTTTTTGGCATGACAGACCTCCAGTGCTAAAAACCATGGAGATGCTGGACAAATGGGGGACAAGTTGTTTACTGTGTTCTTGAGAAGGTAAGTCTCCAATTTTGTGGAGTTCTGGGGAGTAAGTTTATAGGTCCTCCAAGGAACACTAGAGAATCCTGTCAATAACTAGCAGTTCACATAATTCTAACCAAAACGATGGCTACTATTTTACAGAGAGCTTTCCATGGACCAGTTAACAGTGGGGATTCCAATGCAGTCCGTGCCACACGACAGAGGAAGCCCTCAGGGATCCTAGAGCCTGGCTCCTGACCTTGTGGGGAACTAGACAGTATCTCCTAGGACACAGGTCATGACACTGAAGAAACATGAAATATTACACACAGGTCCCCAGACTCAGGTAAAACCCTCCATAGGCTCACACAGAAGAAAAGAATATTGGACCAAAGAGTAAGATTAATTATCCCTTTGGCTGGGCCCTGGTGACTCAGAGTAGTCCCCTGGGCAATTGTCCATTTGATACAGTGTAGACTCCCTTGAAAAGGGAAGTGTCTGTGAGGAACTGTCTAGATCAGGCTGGCTGTGAGTAAGCCTATGAAAGTTTTTCTTAATTGGTTAACTGAGGTGAGTTAATGTGGGTAATACCATTTCATGGGCTGGACCCTGGACTGAATGAAAAGAAGAGAGAGCTAAACAGCCACTGTGGTTTCCCTGCTATGATGGGCGGGAACCTGGAACTGCACGATGGAGTAAACCCTTTTTCTCCTAAATTGTTTTTGCCAGAGTATTTTCTCTAACAGTCACTGTGGTTTCCTGCTATGATGGGCGGGAACCTGGAACTGCAAGATGGAGTAAACCCTTTTTCTCCTAAATTGTTTTTGCCAGAGTATTTTCTCATAGAAGCAGGAAATGCAGCTAAGACACCGGGAGTCCATATCTAGAGGGAAACTGACTAGGGAGACAGTCCCTGACTGAGCAGCCACCCTCCCTGTAGGATGGTGGCCCAGCTAAGACATTAGGGGGACAGTCTCTGCTCACTTGCAGCGGGAGCTCTTTCTTGCCTGCTCAGGGCCCATCTCAGGTGGCCAGTGAGGTGGAGGTGAGAAAGTAGCCAGGCCTGAGTATACTCCAGTTAGCAAAGTGAAGACACCTTAAGAGAATGCCTGGATGTCGATGTTAGCCACAGGTCAATGCCCAGGCTGAGTCAAAGAACCGACTGGGTCCCCCTGGTCCCTTTCTGCCGCCTGGCGACTCTTATCTGGACCATGCAAACATCAACTTCTCAGCAACCCCCCTCAACCCCCTGGCAGCAGAGCCAGCCTGACTTCAATCATCTATCAGAGGGCTTTGTCCACTAGCATCCCAGCTAAGACCCTCCGTGAGGTGAGGGTCCTGCATAGTGACTGCTTGTTCTGCCTGTTTCTGGTGGGTTTGTCCAGAAGGGGTCCCACGGCGAGGCCCAAGGTTCTGGGCCCTAGAGAGCAGGTCCTATAACACCTGACAAACCATAAGATGCAGTATCTTAAAGCTCTTCCCCAAACCCTCCGGGGGCTGGGGATGTGGCTCAGGTGTAGAGTGCTTGCCCAGCACGCACCAGGCTCTGGTTAACCCCTTAGTACCACATTATGGGACATGGGGTGCTGGGTGACTGCTGTGATCCCAGCACTTGGGAGGTGGCTGCAGGAGGGTCCCCCTCCCTTCCCTACAGATGGAGTTAGAGACCATGGGACCCTGTCTCAGCAAACAAACAAAAACAAAACTCCTTAGGTGACTCTACTGTCTTCACTCTGGCCCTCCCTGCTTTGTTACTGACCTAAGCGCACCCCACCCCTACCCCAGCCTGGTCTTTCTGTTTTTCTGAAGCACTGAACCAGTCCCCTCTTTGGAGGTTGCTGTACCCTGTGCCCTCTCCTTAGCTTGCTCCTCCCCCTCCCGGCTCCACCTCACTTTCCTTTGAGTGTCGCTCATCTCAAATGTCACTCCCCAGAGAGGCCTCTCTGGACCACCTAGCCAGCTCAGCCTCTGTGCTCACACTCCCTGGGACCTGATCTGTTCCATTTCTTCTGACATGTCTTCCTCGCACAGGGGTTGCTCCTCCAGGGCAGAGAGGGTGAGGGGGCATTTATGTTCACTGCATTGGCGCCCTGGTGGCTCTATGGTGCGAGAAGATTAGATGAATAGATCCAAGGTGGAGTATGGTTCTTACATAGTGGCATCCAGGTCACCCTGTCACCAACAAGAGGAAGAAGGGCAGCCATGGCATCATCTCCAGGGACCTTTGTAAGTCAGAAATGCCAGATAATACCTGGAGGAAGTGCCTATCTGGCCTCAGGTATCATGAAAGCAACAGGACCCTGACTTCCAAGGCCCTTCTTCCCCTGGCCACTGGACAGAAGAAGTATGTGGTCACAGGTCATTGAATCTCCTTGGGGAAGCAGAGATGTGTACCTGTTGCCCAAGTGTACCTGAGTCACTCTGTGGGGTCCACAGCCCCGGGCACCTGTGCAGACAGAAGGGCAGTGGCCACAAGGGCTTTGGGTGGGAGGGTGGCAGGGGCATGATGATCACTCACTCTCCACGTAGAACACGCCCACTTTGTCCGAGTCCGACATGGAAATGTAGAGGACTATTTCATACCCTGCGGGCAGGCGGTCAGGGCCTTTGGTCCGCAGGATCATCTGAGACATGTCCTTGAGGTCTGTGGGTAGATAAAGGAAGGTAGGAGGAGGGCCTGTGGGAGCTGTTTCACCATTGCTTAACTCTTCCCACCAGGGCCCAGGGCCCCTCCCTCATGCATGCATCATGGGAACTACTCAGAAGCCCAAGGGAAAGGAACTTATCTCCTGCCTGGGAGAACTGGTCAACCCTTTGAGAAGTTCCTTCTCTCTAGGTTTTTTGTTTTTTTTTTTTCATATGTAGACTAGGCTAGCCTGGAACTCATTATGTAGACCAGGCTGGCCTTGAACTTTCAGAGATCTGCCTGCTTCATTTATTTGTGTGTATGTGTATGTATGTATACATGCCATGGTATGTGTGTGTGTATGTGTGTGTGTGTGTGTCTGTCTGTCTGTCTGTATGTATGTATGCATGCCATGATGTGTGTGTGTGTTTGTGTGTGTCTGTATGTATGCCATGGTGTGTGTGTGTGTGTGTGTGTGTGTGT